CAGAAAAGTCTACTAGAACCATCATTATTCAGAACAGTCTTGGTAATGCAATACTATAAGAGCAATGCAATAAAGCAAGAAAAAAAGTTTGTAAAAACACAGTAGGATGAGATTTTTCTGTGTTTTTCCAATGCCATAAATAACTAGAAATGGAAACAAAATAAAGAAAAACAAAATCTACATAACACCTGGAAATAAAAAGAAAAATGGTCTATTTGAAGAAAACCTTAAAATCTATGCAGAACATAAAACGAAATCTGAATAAAAAGAAATATCATGTTGTCTGGGAAGACTTTATACTATAAGAAAGTGAATTATAACAAAATTTAAATCAAAATTTAATGTATTTCCACCTCTAATCAGACAGGACACTATGGGGAACTGAATAAGTAATTTTAAAAGTCATGAAAAATTAATGACTGAGAATAACCATGAAAAGTATGAAAAAAGGAGAAGGAATGAATTGCTCCAACAGATATCAGAATGCTAAAATTAAATAAAATATTACTGGCATAAGAAAATACATATACTGATGGAATGAATAAAGAATCCAGAATTAGATTCTAGTAGTCAAACTACTTTACTGTAAAGCAGGGGTGGCATATTCATCCAGCGGGAAAAGGACAGCTTAGATCACGAGTCAGTAAACTATGGCCCACTGGCCAAATTGTGGCCTCTGCCTAGTTTTGCAAATAAAGTTTTACTGGGACAAAGCCAAGCCTATCATTTGTAAATTGTCTATAAATATTTTCATGTTACAGAATCACACAGTTTCAACAGAGACCATCTTGTCTACAAAGCTGAAAATACCTACGATCTGGCCCTTGAAGAAAGTTTGCCAACCCTTAGTGTATATAATAAATGATAAGCTGTCTCGTAGACACCTATCTCACACAATACATTGTGGGAAAGAACCTTTTTTTTTTTTTTTGAGATGGGGTCTTGCTCTGTTGACCAAGTTGGAGTGTAGTGGCATGATCATGGCTCACTGCAGCCTCAACCTCCCAGGTTCAAGTAATACTCCTACCACAGAATCCTGAATAGCTGGGACTACAGGTGTGTGCCACCATGCCTGGCTAAGGGGCCTTTTTAACAAAGAAAGAAATCCATATACTTCTAAGAAAAAGAAGGGCATATTTGATATATATTTATTTTTACATAAAGATACCACAAAAATCAAGATGAATTATAGTTATGATATTTTGCAATGTGTTTGACAGTAAAAACGTAATATATATATAAATTATTTTATAAAACAAAAAGATAACAAGAAGAAAAAATAGGCAAAACAAAATAGAACGCAATTTACAGAAAACCAAGTCCAAATGGTCAACAAAGATAAACAGATTTATAAACTTACTAAGTGTGAATTATTAGTTGAAGTAAAAATCTCTCTCTATACCCACAATATTACTAAAAATCAGAGTTATAATGCCCTATTGCTGGTGGAGATGTAAGGGGAGAAGCACGCTCTCATATACTGTTGGTGAAAATTTAAACTAACACATTTTTGAAAAGTAAGCTGGCAACTGTTTTTTAAATCTCTACCTTTTGATGCAAAAACTCATTCTTGGGTATCTATTCCATACCTAAAAAAAAAAATACATATATAATGCCATTTGCTGTAGTACTGTTTATAACGGTAAAAACTAGAAAAAAAAACTTGATAGCGAATACTGAACAAATTACAGTGCATCTACAGACTAAACATAATGCAGCCATTAAAAAAGAATAAATTAGGCTGGGTGCGGTGGCTCATGCCTGTAATCCCAGCACTTTGGGAGGCCAAAGCAGGCAGATAACTTGAGGCCAGGAGTTTGAGACCAGCCTGGTCAACATGGTGAAACCCCATTTCTACTAAAAATACAAAAATCAGTCGGGCATATTGGTGGGCACCTGTAATCCCAGCTACTCAGGAGGCTGAGGCAGGACAATCACTTGAACCCGGGAGGCAGAGGTTGCAGTGAGCCAAGATCATGCCACCGCACTCCAGCCCAGGCGACAGAACGAGACTCTGTCTCAAAAAAAAGAACAAATTAAACCCTACAACTCATCAAAACAATACCCAAACCCAATTCAAAAATGGGCAAAGGACTTGAATAGACATTTCTCCAAGGATGATAAACAAGCACATGAAAAGATGCTGAGCACTATTCATTAGTGATTACACCCCACATGCATTAGGATAGCTAGTATGAAAAACAGAAAATAATAAAATATTGGCGAAAATGTGAAAAACTGAAACCCTTGTGCACTGTTGGTGGGGATGTAAAGTGGTACAGCTACTATGGAAAACAGTATGGCTGTTCCTCAAGAAAATAAAAATAAAATTATCTTATGATAGGAATATCCACTTCTGGGTAAATACCCCAAAGAACTGAAAACAGGGTGTACACCCATTTCAACATTTACATGTCAACTCAACCCATGATGCCCAGATATTTGTTCAAATATTCTTCTGGATATATATATATATATGTTTTTTGGCTGAGGTTAACATTTAAATTGGTAGATTCTGAGTAAAGCAGATTACCCTCCACAATGTAGGTGAGCCTCATCTATTCAGTTGAAGGTCTTACAGAAAGAGACTTACCTCCCTTGAGCAAGAAATTCAGCCAACAGACTGCCTTTGGACTCAACTGCAACTCTTCCTTGAGTTGACAGCCCACCCAATCACCCTGGCTTGGTGAGTCCAGGGTCTGATGGGGTAGGCTGTAGACTCAAGGAAGAGCTGCCAAAACCAGGTAAGCCAATTCATTAAAATAAATCTCTCTCTAGACAACACACACACTACCACCACCACCACCACCACCAGCACCACGATGGTTCTGTTCCTCTGGAGAATGCTAATACACCTCTGTTCATGGCAGCATTATTCACAATAGCCCAAAGGTGGAAGCAACTCCAGCAGATGAATGGATAAGCAAAATGTGGTATGTATATACAATGGGATATTATTAAGCCTTTAAAAAGAGGAAATTACACACATACACACACACACACACACACACGCATATTTATAGAAGACAGGGTTTCACCATGTTGTCCAGGCTGGTCTCGAACTCCTGGGCTCAAGCAAACCACCTGCCTCAGTCTTCCAAAGTGCTGAGATTACATGTGCAAGCCACCACACCCAGCCAAAAAAAGGACATTCTGACACATAATACAATATAGGTAAACAATGAGGACATCATGCTATGTGAAATAAGCCTGTCACAAAAAGGCAATTAGCGTATGATTCCTCTTGTATGAGGTACATATGGAAGTCAAATCCATAAAGTAGAATGGGGAAACAGAGAGTTGTTTAATGGGTATAGAGTTTGTTTTGCAAGAAGAAAAGGGTTTTGGAGAATGAATGTACAACAATGTGAACATAATTAACACTACTGAAAATGGTTAAAATTATAAATTTTATGTTATATTTATTTTACCATGATTAAAAACTAAAACAAAATAATATTAAGGAAAAATACTATAAATAACAACAACAACAAAAAAACACCTTAAGCAACTTACATTCAGCTGGAAAACAGAATATGTATATTCTATTACGCTAGAGATATATCTGCAGTTCAAAATGTATTACAAATTATGTTGTCTATCTTTTTGAAATGACTGAAAAACTAAATTAAAAGCAATAATATTCAGTTTGCTAACTGGTAAGTCCTTCTTTCATGGTTCCTGACTTTTTTGTAAGATGTTATTGCAAGATACCTACTAAAATGGAAAACAACTGAAAAAGCAGAATATAATTTCTTATCAACATCGCTAAAACCCTGGAAGGGAGGAATCCTAACAAACATGGCCATAATTTGCCACCTATTTCTATTGTCCTCACTTTTCAAAATCCATAAATCAACATTTCTGGAAACAAAACAGAGTCTAAAATTTGGCTCCTTCTTCAGTTTAGAAGTTACCAAGTTAATCCCTGACATCCTAGTTTCCATTTTGAAAAATATACTTTTTCTCCCCCCCAAACTGGTAAGTATCTAGATTCTTAAATACTTTTAGCACATGACATAGAAGTTAAATAGATTTGCTTAACCAAAATAGCTAGTAAAGCTCCCAAAAGAATTAAAATATTAATGGCGCTTTAATGATACAAATGAACAACTTTACACTGAGATAATCTATGGGAAAGGAAGCAGAATTCTGGGGATTATGAAGTAAACAAAACGAAGTTCAAATTCTACTTTATTTTACTTTTCTATAACTAATGAACAACTTCTTCCAAAGACAAGTGGGAAATACAAAAACTAGCCGGGCATGGCACATGCCTGTAGTGCCAGTTACTTGGAAGGCTGAAGTGGGTGGATCGCTTGAGCCAGGAAGGCAGAGGCTATAGTGAGCTGAGATCACATCATTGCACTCAAGCCTGGGTGACAGAGCAAGACCCTCTCTGGAAAAAAAAAAAAATTAAAAAAAAAAAAAAAAAAAAAAAAAAGGCTGGGCGCAGTGGCTCACGCTTGTAATTCCAGCACTTTGGGAGGTGCACTGAGGCAGGTGGCTCACCTGAGGTCAGGAGTTCGAGACCAGCTGGGCAACATGGTGAAATCCCATCTCTACTAAAAATACAAAAATTAGCCAGGTATGGTGGTGGACGCTTGTAATCCTAGCTACTTGGGAGGCTGAGGCAGGAGAATCGCTTGAACCTGGGAGGTGGAAGTTTCAGTGAGCCAAGATTGCACCATTGCACTCCAGTCTGGGCGACAGAGCGAGATTCTATCTCAAAATAAATAAATAAATAAATAAATAAATAAATAAATAAATAAATAATTAGTAAAATAAAATAAAATAAAATATAAAAAGTAAAGACAAGTAGGAACCATGCTTGCTTTCTTTCTTTCTTTCTTTCTTTTTTTTTAGATAGGGTATCTTTCTGTTGCCCAGGCTGGAGTGCAGTGGCGTGATCAAGGCTCACTGCAACCTTGACCTCTCAAACACAAGTGATTCTCCCACCTCAGCCTCTCAAGTGGCTGGGACTACAGGTGCATACCATCCCATCCGGCTCATTAAAAAATTTTTTTTTCTAGAATTGGGGTCTCACTGTGTTGTATCCAGGCTGGTCTCATTTTAACTTTACAGGAAAACAAGATTGTTTATCAGCTTCTCGTTTTTCTAAAACTAAAAATAACATTGCTAGGTTGTTTCTACGAAGATTCTCTAAATTTATTTATAACCTTAAGAATAACATGTAGAACAAAGTAGGAGACTGAATGATCTCTGTTGAATAAATATGAATGGATATTCAGATAATTAAAAATCTCTTAGGATCTCCCATTCTTTATAGGATACAGAGAAAACTCGTTAATATGGTCTTTCACCTTTGCAGCCTTATCCCAACTCTGTGCTCAAGACAAACAGGTTGTCCTCATACTTACAACGTCCCCTGTGCCTACAAAGGTCTTCTCATGACTCTTTGCCTATCTTAAGTTCACCTTTCCTATCTGTCAAATCTCTGGGGATGCAACATATCCTCAAGGCAGCCTTCTCTCCTCCCAAACTAGAACAAATTCTTCCTGGGGCATTAGGCTTTTATTGCACTGTGTATCTCCTCTTCACAGCAATCACAGTTCCAATGTTATATTTGTATTCTTAGTTGATTTGTTTCTTTCTACCTTTAGACTATAACCTTTCTAAGGGGTGATACATAATATCGATCATCAGTTGTATCCCTTGTGCATAGCATAGGGCATGGCAGGCAAATATGTGTGTAAATAAACTTGCTGAATGAATCAATGAGACACATTTTTCGTACCCAAAGTACAATGGCAGGATAACATTTATCAATCTATTGCTTCTTGAAAAACAGATATGATGTGCCCAATTTTCATTTTACATCTCAAATACCAATGCCTAAGGACCTCACAGTCATTTAACAAATATTTTTGACAAATGCCTTCATTAATCACCACCTGTTTACTAGTGCTAACTAACATTTTGGTTACATTCGGTAACATTTTCTGCCGTTAATGTCATCTCTAGAATACTGGCTAATATGAAGCACCTGGACTTCAGGAACACAAACCTGAAACTCACACACCAAACTAAACTGTTATGTAAATGACAGAAATGACACATTTCGGTCTGCAACATCTCTAGATGGCTTTTGGACCAATTTAACTTTTACCACTAAAATTCTGTCACCTGACTATAGACATTTTGAGCTCATGATAAATGAATTACAGATGAAAAACATACAGTTTGATGACAATCTTTACAAAAGTCAATCTTCAAAGAATACCACCAGTCACAGGTATTCTATGCTCCTATCAACTTATTTGGTCTGAGCAGACTTCACTTTTTGTGATAATTATGTTCTGAAAATTCTATAAACTTAATTATTATAAACAAGTCATACTTTGCACATAAATCAGGCCTGGGTCTGGATTCTAGTTCTTCCATTTTTCATTTATTCACTGAGACAAGCGACTTAAAATTCCTGAGCCTCAGTTTTCTCACATGTAAAATCAGATAATGATTCCTATATCCTAAGATGGTTTTGAGGCTTCAACAAGATAAAATGGGCCTCACTCAAGCATGCTCAGTACTCTGTCTCTCTCTTCTCTGGTTATACAGAAATTCTATTAGGATTCTGCAAAGTAAAACAAATATTTCAGTAAAAATTAGCCCTTTATTAATAAATCTGGATTTTCAGATTTTCCTTAAATTTACTTAGTAACTTAAGGGCTCAAATATTATAGAGATTTGTATCTAGTCTGTTAAAGAAATGAAAGGTGTAAATTGATCAAAATGCTGCACAAATAAAAGCTACATTTAACATACAGAGTATCACAACCATACAAACTAATTAGACATAAAGAAGTCAGCAACAGAAATCTGATGTTGCCTTTAGATGACACAATTAGGCAAACAAAAAGTACAGTTCCATCCTCCTTTGGTCAAGGCCATGGTTGAAGACTGAATACCAAATAGGGAAATAGGAAAAGCCAGGAAATGGCAAATTAGCAAAAACTAGGACTCCTTAATTTTTGTATTCATTTCATATTTCATTTCTAAAACTTTAATTAAATTCAAATAAAAACCAAAATGGAACTGGGATAAAGCCAAAAGGAAAGTTATATAGGTCAAATGAGAACCTATATTGTCCTTAGGCTCTTTGTCACTTTCTATTTAAGGAAAAACTGCCCAAGTGCCTTGACACATTAAAGATCAAGCAGGAGGTTCTGCCCTAAGACAGTCCCCATCTGGCAGCCAGGTTTTGTCAAGCAAATTTTGAGAATTCTCTACCTTCCTACTTTCTATCTAATTATGGCACTTTATAAAAACCATTCTCTCTTTCTCTGTCTCTCTCTCTCACACACACACACACTCCTTCTCTCTCCCTCTCTCTCTCAAACTTATCTGTATTATAATAACACAACACTAGGTATGGATTTATCTGACAATTTTCCCCTAAAACAGAATAAATTCAAAATGGAAAAACTTTCCTCTGTACACCTGCACTATATTCTGACAATAATAATTCCTAAATTAAGTATAATACACTTTCCCTATAGGAGTTTAAAGAGGTTACAGTAAAGAATCTCTTGTATAAATATATGTGCCAGAACTTGACTCAAATAAGTGCTGAGAGGTATAAATCTCAAGTTTCGAGACTCTTTGAGAAATGTCTTCAGAGTCTGTGATATATTTTATTCAACTAAATTGTACAAGTAAGATATTTTGCTAGGCTGTGGGAATGCCTTATGGCATGTTACTGTGGAGCTCGTGGTAAAATACAAAGAATATAAATAATTAAAATAAAATTGACAAATGATAAATGATTTAATAAATTAGAAATTCAAATGCCGAGCACTCTTCTAGACCCTGGACACAAAGCATGAACCTAACAATAACCCTGCCTTCGTGAAAAATATGGACTACTTGAAAATTATACCTGCAACACTAAATAAATATTCTTCATTCTTCCAGTATTTTGAGATGTTTATTTTCAATTAGACAATCTGTTTTCCTCTTTGAACCCATAGTTATGTGATGGCTCTATAAAAGATTTTAAAATAACTATAGAAGTAACTATTAGTAAAGATTGTGGGATACTGAAAACGGCTACAAAGAAAGTTATGAAAAACCTCTGAATTTGAATGGAAGTCCTACTAGATTAGAGTCTATGTCTGTGACATTATGCTTCTAATTCTTGTTCTTAAATGCTTTTCTCATGATAGTATGAAACTTACTTCCTGGAATGCCATTGATTAAAAAATTTAATATTTACTAAATGCCAATATTTATGCCAGCACTTTTAAAGTACAGAAACATGGAGTTTCTTTACCTCATGCAAATATGCTGTGAGAAAGACTTCAGAGCCTATTGCCTACTTTGTGGTACAACACTGAAGATTAATCATCCAAAACAGACAGACAGTAAATTCTTGTGATTTGCAGTAGTTCTGTTTTATAAGGGTACCACAAACATTGAAATCATCGCTCCTGGGGGAATACGTTTCCGTGAGCCCTTAGTCACAAGATGTTCATCAACTGATCAATACATAACCTTGTTCTATGTGTGCTTCTGTTTAAAAAGAGCACTTCAGTGCTACATTTGGAGTCTGTTTTAAACAGCAAAATCACTAACAAAAAGCACAAAAATGTAAAAGCATGGCACTACATACACTGCGAAAAGAAGGCTTGTTTATAGTATGACAGCTGAGACAATAAGGTAGAACCTCGCTTTGATCAACCTCAGCTGGGAAATGAGCATCAGGTGAATCAATTGTTCACCACTCTGAATGACCATAAAAGTGCTCCAAGTACTGACTTTGGGGTTACACATAAATTTTAGCAAGTATGTGAATCTGCCAATATGAAATCTACAAATAACGAGCACCAACTGCATATGAGTCAAATATTTCAGTGCAGTATCTGACTTGATTGCCACTGAAAGACACAGTTTGGAAAACCCCTAATAAATACTGTTTAGTTACTACGCAGACAAAGAGTTCCGGACTAGAGTGCTTCAAGTAAGATGTCTGAGGCTTTCATAAATGGATGTTTTTTAAAATGTTATTTCCTACCTGATATATTCTAAAGGGGATATAACGAAATCCATTTTCTTCTGCAGGATATTCCATGAGTTTCCGATTGATGGCCCAAAACTGGTCAAATCTGTCTGTAATGATATAAATTATTTGTTATTAAAAATGAACAATATTATAATGGAATACCTCACATGAAGAGATGAAAGTTTTAAATATCCCTCTAGAAGTTGCTGAAAGGACATCATTTATATATTATTTTTTCTTATTTTTATTAAACTTATCTTTCCATAACTAAACATAAAGCAAATATAAAATTAATTTTTTTCTACATTATTGCATCCTCTCCCTAGATATTCACACAGCCGTTTTTTTCTCATAAGAAAAACCATAAACATATAAACATATGACTACTTGTGTTATCAAGGCAAAAATCACACCAGGTAGAAGATAGATGTCTTGACTCTCCTGGTACTACTTCTAATTGCTGAGCTACAAAGGTATAGCTTCAAGTAGCCTAAATGTTAACCAGAAGTTGTGTAAAGAAATAAAGTCACTGGGTGCGGTCGCTCACGTCTGTAATCTTAGTACTCTGGGAGGCCGAGGCGGGCAGATCACTTGAGATCAGGAGTTCGCGACCAGCCTGACCAACGTGGAGAAACCCTGCCTCTACTAAAAATACAAAATTAGCCAGGCATGGTGGTGCATGCCTATATTCCCAGCTACTCGGGAGGCTGAGGCAGGAGAATTGCTTGAACTTGGGAGGCGGAGGTTGTGGTGAGCCGAGATCATGCCACTGCACTCCAGACTGGGCAACAAGAGTGAAATTCTGTCTCAAAAAAATAAAAATAAAGTCAAAATACTGAACACAGTAAACATTAAATATCAAAGATATATATACTATTCTTTGTGTGTGCTGTGTGTGTGTGTGCTGTGGTGTACTATATATATATAGTATATTTTTTTTTTTTTTTTTTTTGAGATGGAGTCTCGCTCCCTGTCGGCCCAGGCTGGAGTTGCAGTGGGCGCTGATCCTTCGGGCCGCTTTGCAACCTCCAGCCTCCTGTCGGTCTTCACGGCCATTCTCCCGCCTCAGCCTCCCGAGTAGCTGGGACTACAGGCGCCCGCCACCATGCCTGGCTAATTTTTTTGTATTTTTAGTGAAGACGGGGTTTCACTGTGTTAGCCAGGATGGTCTCGATCTCCTGACCTCGTGATCCGCCCACCTCGGCCTCCCAAAGTGCCAAAGATATTTTTTTAAAAAACTTTGAAAGAAATACGGAACTGGCACTTACGAAGTGCCAACTGCAGCTTAATCTCAGACCAATTAAGCTCTTTTTTTAAACTTTTCAGTTTCAAATTTTCTAAATAAACAACTTGAGATACAATTTGCATACTATAAAATTCTCCCCTTTTAAAGTATACAACTTAGTAGTTTTCAGTATATTCAGAGTTCAGAACATTTTCAGCATCCCAAAAAGAAACCTGTGACTATTAATAGTCACTTCCCATTCCCCCTTGCCCCGGCCCCTGAAAAATCACTACTTTCTATCTTTACAGTTTGCCTATTCCAGACATTTCACATAAATGAAGTAATTTAATACATGGTTCTTTTGCATGTGAGTTTGTTTTTTGCTTGGCATAATATTTTTGAGGTTCATTCATGTTGTGATATGTATCAGAACTTCATTTGCTTTTATGGCTGAATAATATTCCATTACGTAGAGTTACGAGATTTTTGTTCTCTCAGTTGACTGACATTTAAGTAGTTTTTGCTTTTTATCTATTATAAATATGTTTTCAATTCTCTTGGGTATGTACCTAGCAGTAGAACTACTGGGTCATTAGGTAACTCTGTTTAACTGATACATGGTAACTATGTTTTGAGGAACTGCCATACTGTTTTCCAAAGTGACTGTACTACCTTGCATTTCCACCAGCAATGTATTTGGATTCCAATTAGTCCACATCCTTGCCAATACTTGCTACTATTGGTCTTTTTAATTGTAACCATTCTGGCAGGCATCAAGTAGTATCTCATTGTGGTTTTGATTTGCATTTCCTTAATGACTATGCTGAGCATCTTCTCATGTGCTCACTGGCCATTTGTACATCTTTGGAGAAATGCCTATGAAATCACTTTCCCTTTTAAACCAGCTGTCTTTTTATTATTGAGTTATAAGAGTTCTTTATATATTCTGGATACAAACCCCTTATCTGTGATTCACATATCTTCTCCCATTCTGTACACTGTTTTTTAAGCAACTCCTTTTTTCTTAAACTCACCCAGAATCCCACCTTATAAAATATTTTATACTCAGAAATTTATATCAAAATCATAATTCTATAAAGTAGGGAAATATTTCCAGAATTACAGTTCAGCTTGGTATTTCTCTATTACTAGACCTGTTTGAATCCAATCTGCTGGCAAACTATTGATTCTGCTTAAACCATCCTAACTATATATTTTTTAAAAATTAGTTATTTCTTCTTGTACCCCTGTCCTAAAAGACTGTGACAGGCTTTAGGCCTTCCTTACTCTCATCTTCAGCTCCAATCCGAGGGAAGACTCACAGTATATTAGAAACGGTGTGAGACAAAATTTTAAATCCAGTAAGTCCAACACAATTTCACAGATAACTAAGGCCCAGATTGTTACATGTTTAAGAACCAAGACCAGAATCTTGGTCTTCCAATTCAAAGTCCCCAATTGGTTCAATAGTTGCTGCCACGAAACTTTATCTTAATGTGAAGAATACTACTTTGACATAGTCCTCTCATACATGAAGCAATTATTCTGTCAATGCTCAAAAAAGTGTCTTTTTACCATCAGGTATCAAGCAAGAATGTGACAGCTACATAAAATGATTCTTCATGAATACTTAAAATTTTACTTGCTGCCTTGTGATGAAATCTCAAGCATCTAGCATGGTGCATGCATAGCATATGCTCTTGAATCAAAGAATGGATAGAACACTATGAACATAATTTCTCATAAAAGTAAACTGGAAAAAAAAACACGATTGTGCCAGTTATCAATTGTATGACTCTCTTCTCCAAACTCACCCTTCAACATATGCATTGCTATATGGACACAAATCCTTTAAGCATCTCTACTAAGACAACTATGTTAAGATTTCTCAGCAGAAAATGCTAAAACAAGTTGTAGGACAAACAGTTCTGCCCAATGTCCAGATATACAAGTCTCTCAGCAAGGTTGCAGCCTGAGCCTGGCCAAGGGATAACCTCTCAAGACAGAATCTAGCACTCCAAAGGCTTCCTGCTTGCATAGGCACACTAATGGGCCGTTGCCCTTATCAACATCTTAGTTTGCTTGCTCTGGAGGTCTGCACGGGCTGCCCATCTGTGGTTTCCCACCCAGCTGCCACTCTCTCTGCACAACCATGCCACATGTTGCTGATCACCTGCATTCCAGGTTGCCCTGACTGCCAATGGACTACAGACCAACTCTGGCCTGGCGAGAAGAGAGAACTTTTCTACTAATTCAATGAACTGAATATACCTCCTCCAATGAAGTCTGAGCCCTAGCCCTTGCAGGTGGGGCCCCTTACAAGTTTGGTCTTCCTCCCTCAGTCCTAGGGTAAAATATATAGTTTTCTTATATTGTATAGTCACTCTTATCAGAGTTTAATAATTCTTTATATAAAACTTAGCCTGTTTAACCCACTGATTAGACCCAAATACAACTATGTTTAAAAGGAAGACACAATAAAAAAAAATCTGTATTGATATTAATTTTAATCTTCTTATAGAAATGCTGTATTCTTATATTAAGAAGGTATTTTCCCAGCAATAGCTAAAAACACCCTAATCAAAAATAAACTTTTATAGATCAAAGTTATTAACAAGAAAGATACAAACATAAGAAAGTAAAAGAAGTTCGGTGCTTCCCTAGAGTAAGACAGGGAGAGAAAGAAGAGAAAGAAGAAGGGAAGAAGGGAAGGAGGGAAGGAAGGAAGAGGGAGGGAGGAAGGGAGGGAGGGAGGGAGGGAGGGAGGAAGGGAAAATCAGTGTTGAGATTGAAAGAATAACCAAGTGTCTTTCACAATGTTTTTTTTTTTTTTAAGAGACGGAGTCTCGCTCTGTCACCCCGGCTGGAGTGCAGTGGCGTGATCTCTGCTCACTGCAACTTCCACCTCCCAGGTTCAAGAGATTCTCTCGCCTCATCCTCCCAAGTAGCTGGGATTACAGGCATGCATCATCATGCCCGGCTACTTTTGTACTTTTAGTAGAGACGGGATTTCACCATGTTGGCCAGGCTGGTCTCAGACTCCTGACCTCAAGTGATCCATCCGCCTTGGCCTCCCAAAGTGCTGGGATTACAGGCATGAGCCACCGTGCAGAGCCAAACAAAACAAACACTAAGTAGGAGAAAATTAAAACTAGTAGTTACTTAGCTTATTCACATTGGGAGAAAGGAAGATAACATATATACTTCTTGTCAGAGCTATAAGCAGTATTACTGATGTAAGTTTCTTTTTATAAAACTTAACATTTAAGAATGCTATCAAATCAAAAGCATAAAACCGAAGGACTGTTCTACAGAAATATTCAATCAATTTTTTTTAAAAAAAGATTAAAAATACCATTTCTCAAAAGTCCTGATGGTCATCCATTTTTCCTCTCTCTCTCTCTGCTGAATTAAGCTTTTATATTGGTCTTGCAAATTTTTAAAACACCTGGAAAAACATTTTTTTTTTTTTTTTAAATTTCGGATCTCTCTAAAATGCGTAAGATACCGAGTTTATTTGTATTCTTTGTTCCTCACATGGACAAACAGCAGGAAAAAGTGATAACTTTAAACGATTTATCTATTCTTCCACTTAAGCTTTCCGGGAGGTAAAAACTCAGGGCAAAATAATTCTTAGGCCACAAATAACATGTCTAAAATCCCCCACAGGAGACATGGAGGACATATAAGGAGAGTGTAGGGATTGTACTCAGGCTCAATTCAGCCGGCTGGGACCCTCATGCAGGAAACCGGTGAAATGGTCTCCACATGCATACACTATTCACCTCCTGGTCTTTAACATCTATGAAGCCAAAGGACAGCAGAGTTACAGCATTCCAAATAAATGTCAGATTGTGACAGCACACAGAAGACAGACTCTAA